TAGGTGTCTATCGATAACTACACGTAATGTTTATCGTATTTTAGAAAATGACAAACTACTGTAATTCACGTGAAATACACTCTGCTTGGTGGACTTGAGGTGTCTATCGATAACTACACGTAATGTTTATCGTATTTTAGAAAATGGCAAACTACTGTAATTCACGTGAAATACACTCTGCTTGGTGGACTGTAGGTGTCTATCGATAACTACAATTAATGTTTATCGAATTACAGTAGTTTGTCATTTTCTAAAATAATTGTACGCCGACCTACAAAAGTCAGTCTAGCCTTAATTCACAGTTTTGGATATAACCTTAATCCATAGTTTTGATTGTACGCCGACCTACAAAAGTCAATATAGCCTCAATTCGCAGTTTTAAGTATAACTTTAATTCATACGTTTGGTGACATACAGGCTTATAGTAACTGGTGTACTCTTACTTTCTAATTTAGATTGTAAAAGTCACACATATATCGTAATCACTATGGAACACCCGAATGGTTGTTATGGATACATGGCCAACAGTGTTGTACTGTTTATCATAAAAGCAGATTTACAACAATAATGATATGCACCACATATTCCCCTTTTTTTCACAACATATTCTCCGATACGACCTCAGACTAGAACTTAACTGACGCAAAATTATATTTGATAGATTCATTAGTATTATTTGTTTTGTTGAATTTCGCGTAAAGTTACACGAGTGCTATCAGCGCTAGTCGTCCCAAAGTTTGAAGTGATAGACTAGAGGGAAAGAAACTAGTCAATACCAATCACTGTAAACTCTTGAGCTGTTCTTTACCAACGAAAAATGAGATTTATCGTCGCATTATAATGTCTCCATGGCTAAAAGGGCGAGCATGTTTGACGACGGGTTTCAATCTCTCGGCCCGCAAGCTCGAGCACCCTAACATCCAGGCCATGCCAAACTCCGGTCATTACTAAAGTGTATTTCACGTTCAAAACTATGGATTAAGGTTATATCCAAAACTGCGAATTAAGGCTAGACTGACTTTTGTAGGTCGGCGTACAATCAAAACTATGGATTAAGGTTATATCCAAAACTGCGAATTAAGGCTAGACTGACTTTTGTAGGTCGGCGTACAATCAAAACTATGGATTAAGGTTATATCCAAAACTGTGAATTAAGGCTAGACTGACTTTTTTAGGTCGGCGTACACAAAACTATGGATTAAGGTTATATCCAGAACTGCGAATTAAGGCTGGA